ACATGAACCAGACAGGCTCAGCCACAGCTGTATGTCACTGTCAGCAGACACTCAGGAACCTTTTACTCCACACCTATTTTTAGTATCAGAGTTCCACCATCTGCCTTTCCCATCACCCCCTCCCCATCCATCATGGGGACAGGAGGTGCCTTCCAGAACAGGTCCTCAAACACCAGCACTTCCTAATTAAACCCAACCAAATCCTGCCCTTTTCATGATTGTACTTCCAGGTTAATTAGTAAAAACAGTCTTTTTGGAACAAATTGATGTACTGACCAAGATATTGACATTTCCTAATGTTCCACCTTCAGTAGATGACAATGTACCCTGTGTTTGCTGTTGCAAATGTGACAGTGGCACATTCTGTACACACAAATCTGGTGTTTGAGGGCAGGATGGCATCACTCAGCCAGGCCAGGATGGCATCACTCCAGGAGACTTGCTTGCAATTTCTTCCTTCTGTTCTACTTTTCTTACATCCCTTCTGCTCCACCTGTCTCCAAAATCCCTCACTCCCAGCAGCCTCTTGCACCCCACAGTGAAGGATACCATCCACATGCAGGATCTGGACTCCCCACAGGCGAGCGTTGGCGAGGATGCTGCTGCCACTGCAGGTGTCCTGCACAGAGAGGTTTGGCAAAGCCCAGCTCAAAGCACAGCTCTAAACTGAGCTCAGAGCCCTTCCTGCTGCCCAACTGACAGAGTGTGGCTGGTACTGAAATCAGGGCACAGCAGTAAAGGATGGAGCTCAGTGCTTTATCCATCCCAAATTAACAGCAGCATCTTGGGCAGATGTTTAATCCCTGCTACAGCATGAGCCTCTAAGTAGGCACTGAGATTTATCTGGGGAAAGGACTGCAGGGGAGCCTTTGCCCCAGCTACATTGCTTTAGTTCTTTTTAGGCTAAAAATTCATCTAATAACAGGCCTTGTGTTAATAATTCTCCTGTGTTGAGCACCCAGATGGCTGGGACAGGCCTCAGAGGTACAACACTGGATGACATGGCTCCAGAAATAGCAGTGACCAGGAGCACTACACAACTTTCTGCAGGCCACAAGCAACTGCTTTGTGTCTTTCCCAGCCCCAGGATCTGCTCTGTCAGCAGGGCAGGGGCTCTGCAGGAAGGCTGGCACTGGTTCTGCTCTGCTCAGCAGAGCTCTGAGCACACCCAGCCCCAGCAGAGCCCATCCAAGGCTGCTCACCTGGTTCTTCATGGCCTTGTTCAGCAGCTCCTTCCCCCTGCTCAGCAGTGCCTGTGGAGAGAGGAGACATGAACAGGTCATGCAAAGAGCTGGAGAGCAACAACCCCTGGAGATCCCCAAAGAGCTCGAGAGCAACAATCCCCAAAGAGCTGGAGAGCAACAACCCCTGGGGATCCCCAGAGAGCTGGAGAGCAACAACCCCTGGGGATGCCCAAAGAGCTGGAGAGCAACAACCCCTGGGGATGCCCAGACTCTGCTGGGCTCATTCTCTGCCAGGGCAGAGAGCCTTTCAGAGAATGCAAACTGCAGAGAGAACCACTCAACTGCACCAGCAGCAGCAGCCAAGGCTTGGAATTATTGACCAGCAGGGAAATGAAAGCTCCAGAGTGAGCCAGGAGGGAGCAGCAATTTAGCTTGGAAAGTGCCTGCTGCATCATGGAATTGTTCAGGCTGGAAAAGCCCTGTAAGGTCATCAAGTCCAACTCCTCTCCAGCAGAGCCAAGGTCACCACTGACCCATGTCCCCAGGTGCCACATCCACAGAGTTTTTAAATCCCTGCAGGGATGGGGACTCCACCACTGCCCTGGGCAGCTGTGCCATGAAGCACAACCCCTTCCATGAAGGAGTTTTCCCTAAAATGCAATCTAAACCTGCCCAGCACAGCTTGAGGCCGTTTCCTCTTGTCCTGTCACTTGTTACCCAGGAGAAGTGACCAAGCCTCACCTGGCTACAACCTCCTGTCAGGGAGTTGTAGACAGATCAGGTCCCCCTGAGCCCCCTGTTCTGCAGGCATCTGAACATGCTGGCCAGGGTTAGGAACATCCTGGGAACTGAGCCAACAGTCTCAGCAGATTGGTTCAGCTCTGTAAGACAAGGGACAGTGCTGGGAGCCAGGACAGGGGACAAATCTGGGAGAAACCTCTGCAGCTCAGCTTTCCCACTGCAGGTGGGTCAGCTCCAGCTGGCAGAGATCCCCCAGGCCTGGACTGGGGCAGCTGCCTTTCCCCAGTCACAGCTTCCAGCAGACACCACATTCCAGGTGGGATGTTGGAGCTTGGCCACAAGCATTTGTGAGCAGAAAGCCCAGCTCCAAGAAGCAAATGGGACCAGGAGAAAAATGGGACCAGGAGAAGCCCCTTCATGCAGGAGGCCCTCATGGATCTCCTCCCAGGGTACAGGGGCCTTGCCCTGTCACTGTGAGTACCCAGAGTCTGCAATGCTTTTCCCTGTCTATATTTCTCTGGTTTTTCTCACCACACCTCTGTCTGTCCCCTCAGGAAGCCAGCCAAGGTCTCCACATCCCCTGCCATTCCAGATTTCCTTCATTACAGCCCAAAGCTGTGACATGCACAATGATGGCAGACACAAAGAACCAGAATATGAATAAGGACAGCCAGGGAAACAGGAACAGAGCAGGGAAAAAAACACACAGAATATTTGCAGAAACAACTCCACCTTCCAAAACTGGCCCCAGATTCTGCCCTCCAGCCCCCTTGGACAAAACCTTTGTAGCTCTTACAGTGTATGGTGGCTTTGGACAAAACCTTTGTAGCTCTTACAGTGTATGGTGGCTTTGGGCAAAACCTTTGTAGCTCTTACAGTGTATGGTGGCTTTGGACAAAACCTTTGTAGCTCTTACAGTGTATGGTGGCTTCTGTTGAGCTCTGGTTTGGGTTCCTTTGGGGGCAGCAGGCACTGAGCTCGTGGATTTTGTGCTTTCTGCAGCTGGGCTGTTCTGCTTCTCCTCCCGAGCCCTGGGCTGGCTCCTCTTGGCCTCTCTGTTGCTGGACACCACACAGGTGACTTCTTTGCTGAGGAAGCTTTCTGTCACCTGCAGAGAGACAGAACAGAGCAGCTCTGCAAGGGCCTGCCCCTGAGCTGACACAGCCCTGCTGAACAAAGCTGGGCTCAACCTCCACACAGCAGGGGCTGCCTGCAGCAATCACATTCCTTCTTTCATTCCACACCGACCAGGAGATCCTGTGATGCCCTAGAGATTCACTGCAAATAAACCCCAGAAATTCAGATCCAGATTTCCAGGACTCTGTCACCACCATCTACTCCTCACACAGTGCTTTCAAAAAAACAAAAAAACCACCAATATCTGAGGAAAAGAGCCTGGACATCATGGATCAGCCTGGAGGAGCTCTGTCCTCAGGAGAGCATAACCAGTTTTAGAAAAATAAAGGAGAAAGGGAACAACTGGGCAAGCAGCTCCACAGACAACAGGGCAGGAGGGAAGCAGAGAGATGAAACACATACACACAGCAGCACAGCAGTCTTTCCAGCACTGGTTGGATCTGGAACACCTGGAATGTTAGGAGGAAAAGGCCAGAAGACCTGGAACATTGGGAGGGAAGGAGGCTCTGTCCCCAGGAGAAAATAACCTGTTTTAGAAAAATAAAGGAGAAAGGGAACAACAGGGCAAGCAGCTCCAGAGAGGAAGGAGGGAAGCAGAGATGAAACACATACACACACATACACCAGTCCTTCCAGCTCTGGTTGGAGCTGGAACATCTGGAATGTTAGGAGGAAAAGGCCAGAACAGCTGAAATGTTGGGAGGAAAGGGCCAGAACACCTAGAACATTGGGAGGGAAAGCCCAGAAGACCTGGAACGCTGGGAGGGAAGGAGGCTCTGTCCCCAGGAGAAAATAACCTGTTTTAGAAAAATAAAGGAGAAAGGGAACAACTGGGCAAGCAGCTCCACAGACAACAGGGCAGGAGGGAAGGAGAAACACATACACACAGCAGTCCTTCCAGCACTGGTTGGACCTAGAACAGCCGGAATGTTGGGAGGGAGAGGGCCAGAACAGCCGGAATGTTGGGAGGGAAAGGGCCAGAACACTCAGAATGTTGGGAGGGAAAGGCCAGAACACCCAGAATGTTGGGAGGGAGAGGGCCAGAACACTCAGAATGTTGGGAGGGAAAGGGCCAGAACATCCGGAATGTTGGGAGGGAAAGGCCAGAACACTCAGAATGTTGGGAGGGAAAGGCCAGAACACCCAGAATGTTGGGAGGGAGAGGGCCAGAACACTCAGAATGTTGGGAGGGAAAGGGCCAGAACATCCGGAATGTTGGGAGGGAAAGGCCAGAACACTCAGAATGTTGGGAGGGAAAGGCCAGAACACCCGGAATGTTGGGAGGGAAAGGCCAGAACACTCAGAATGTTGGGAGGGAAAGGGCCAGAACACTCAGAATGTTGGGAGGGAGAGGGCCAGAACAGCCGGAATGTTGGGAGGGAAAGGCCAATCCCAAGCCCAGGGACTCCTCGAGGGCCGGAGCGCGGGGACAGGGGCGACCTCCACCAGCCCCGCTGCGGGGGGAGCCGGGAAGGGAACCGGCCCAGCGGAAAAACAAGAAAATCAGGAAACATTAAAAAAAATGAGCAGAGTCAGAAAAGGGGCGAGGCCACCCCAAGACACCCCCCTAGAGCCCCCCGCAGTCCCGGGTCACCCCCAGCCCCTCACAGCCCCGGCCCGCGCTCACCCCACCGAGCCGCCCGATGGCCTCTGCCAGGTCCCGGGCGCTGCGGCCGCTGGGCAGGTCCAGGTAGAAGGACTGTCCGCGGAGGGGCCGAGGGGAGGCCGTGCTGGCCATGGCCCTACCCGGCTCGGAGCCCGCCGCTGGTCCGTGTTTAAATTCCGCCGCCTGCCCCGCCCCGCACGGCGGCCGCGCAGGGACGCGCCGCTCCCCGCGAAGCCGCTCTGCAGGGACGAGCCGCTCTGCGACGCTCCCCGCGAAGCCGTGCCAGGGGTGCAGGTGGCGCGGGGCGCACACGGGGCACACCGAGCACACCGGAGCACACCGGGCTGCCCGCCCAGCCCCGCCGCTCCGGTTCAGGCACGGCCGCAGTGACCCCGACCACGCTCCCTCCGCTCCCGCCGGCGCCACAACTTTGTCCCTCCGCGGCCACCGTCCCCTCCCCTCTGCAGGCCCAAGATGGCGGCGCCCGGCGGGGCAGGCGCGGCGCCGATGGCGATGGCGATGCCGATCCCGGCCCCCATCCTGCTCCCGGAGCCGCCGCCCTTCCCGGCGTGGCTCGCAGCGCGGCTGGACGCGCTGGGGCTGGACCGCGCCGTCTACGGCGCCTACATCGAAGGGCTGCTGCGGGAGGAGGAGAGCGATGAAGAGCGGCTGGAGGCGCTGCGGGCCGTGCTGGCCGCCTGCCTGGTAAGGGCGGGGGTCCCTCCGCCGCCCCGGGCCAGCGGGGTCTCGCCGTCTGTCCTGTGCTGATGAACGCGCCGTGCTCCTGCTGGGGCTCCCCTGCAGCCCACAGAGGGGCTGCGGCCTCCACAGGGCGGAGGACGGGCGGGGCGGCTCCCCACAGCCCTGGATCATCATCCCCTTCCCGGAGCGGGTCACCCCCTTAGGGGGAGGACACGCACATCAGGGGCTTTTTAACCCCCACTCGAGAGCCTTGCGGGGTTTGCGGTGCTTGTTTGGGGGTTTGTGCCAGGCTCGGGCTGGTGGGAGCTCTGTGGAAGGGGCTGTTCGTGGGGATCCCCCTGGTTTGGGGGCAGCGCTCAGCGTTCACCGCGGGCTGGGCGGTCTGGCAGTGCCAGGTGGGCATCGAGAGGTGAATTTTGATGGTAAAATCCTCTGGAGAAGGGTGTGGGGCGGTGCTGTGGTGCCTCACACCCGCCTTGTCTGTCAGGAATCGGATCCCGCTGGGGCTGGACGGACAGGAACAGCCGTGGGTGAGCAGCGCTTGCTCTGCTCCTGCCGGATTGCCGGGACCCTTCCCGGAGCCGGTCACCCCCTTCCTGGGAGGGCACCCACATCAGGGGCTTTTTAACCCCCACCCGAGAGCCTCGTGGGGTTTTCGGTGCTTGTCTGGGGGTTTGTGCCAGGCTCGGGCTGGGGGGAGCTCTGTTCGTGGGGATCCCCCTGGTTTGGGTGCAGCGCTCAGCGTTCACCGCGGGCTGGGCGGTCTGGCAGTGCCAGGTGGGCATCGAGAGGTGAATTTAATGGTAAATTCTCTGGAGAAGGGTGTGGGGCGGTGCTGTCGTGGCTCACACCCGCCTTGTCTGTCAGGAACGGGATCCCTCTGGGGCTGGGACAGGCAGGAACAGCCCTGGGTGGGCAGGGATTGCCTCTGCTCCTGCCGGATTCCTGGAGCCAGGAGGGTGCAGGGAGGGATTTCTCTTCCATAATTCTCCCTGTATGATTTTACAGTGTCTGTGTCTCGGGGTTTTTCATAAATGGATGTTTCATAGTTGTGAAAAATTCATGTATTTTATGATTGGCTTTTTGCAAATATTAAAAGGAATATTATATGTGTTGTGTTAGAAAGTAATGCTGTATTAATTCTCTTAAGTACTGTGTTAAATCTAGTTTTAGGTTATAAAAAAATTGTTAAAATAGAAACTATGCTATGTAGGATACTTTTTTTAAAGAAAGGACTCACAGTGAGATAGCAGCCACAGGACACTTAAATCCTTTAGGGAAAAAGAATTTATTGCCCTCTTATCAGAAGAAACGAACTTCTTCCTGCCTCGAAGGCACTGTCAGGATTCGGAGGAGGAAGCTGATGACCAGAGAGAATCCTGTGTTTGAATGGAATTTATGCATCATGTATAGAGTGTATGAATATGCAACAGGCTGTTGCTTTTAAGGGTTAATCTTTTGTTAACCGGGGTCCTTTTCCCCTCTTTCGGGCTCGTGCTGCCCAGAAAAGGCACCCAGACTTTGTTTCTATTGTCTCACATTGTCCTAATTCAATTTGTCCAAATTATTATTACTCTAATTGTATTATTATTTTTATTACCATTTTATTACTATTAAACTTTTAAAATTTTAAAAACAAGTGATTGGCATTTTTCACAATAGTGTAAAACGTTAAATCATGAGTAGTGCTGGTGCTGGGAACTGTCTGCTCAGTTTTCCTCCCAAACATCAGTGTGGGAGCACAAAACCCACAGGGACTGTGTGGTGGTGTTCACAGGGGTCCCAGGATGAGGGAAGAGATGAGAATCTTGACTCCATGTTTCAGAAGGCTGATTTATTATTTTATTATATATATTATATTAAAATGATATATTAAAACTATACTAAAAGAATAAAAGAAAGGATTTCATCAGAAAGCTTGAAAGGAAGGAATAGAATGATAATAAAATCTTGTGGCTGACCAAAGAGTCTGAGCCAGCTGACTGTGATTGGCCATTAATTAAAAACAAGCACATGAGCCCAATCCCAGATGCACCTGTTGCATTCCACAGCAGCAGATAACCATTGCTTACATTTTGTTCCTGAGGCCTCTCAGCTTCTCAGGAGGAAAAATCCTTGCAGAGGGATTTTTCAGAAAATACCATGGCTACAGGGCTGGGAGGGTGCAATCAGCTGTTTGTTATCACAGCTGTGACACCATTCCTTCTGTACCCTGACTGTGCCATCTCACTTTTAGGCTTTCCTAAAAGCCAGAGCCCCCTCCCCTGCTGTCCCTGTCCCTCCCCACCCTGGGGCACAGCAGGGAGGGCGCTTTGGCTTCTTTCCTTCAGCTGTGGCAGCACAGCTTGGAGCCTGAAAGAGCCTGAGAAGCAAACGGTGCATGCTGAGGGATGCAGCCAGATGTCTTTGCAAAGTGCTGCTCTGCAGTAGTGGTGGTTAATTAACCTCCCTGTAATTACCAGACTTCATTCCATCCCTGTTGCTGTGCCTGGCTCTCTGCAGGCCTGGGAAGTGTGTCCTGGCTGGAATATTCCTCTTTCCTGATATTTCAGTTTTCTGCTCTTTCCCTTTTCTGCTCAGTGCTCAGTTCCCTTCTGTGCTGCTGCTGCCAGGACTGAGCAGCTGTGGGGTTCCCATGGCCCTCCCGTCCAGAGCCTCATTTGCACTTTCTGGCTCACTTTGATTTTTCTGCTATTCCTGTAAAACATTTTTGCCTCTTGAACCCTCAGACTTTGTAATTATTCTTTGTAGTCTGTTCTTTTTTTAATGTCTTTTTTGTTTATTTTTAGACTATGTGCTTATTTCTGTGCTGACTGTTCAAACAGTATTTTATTTGGTGAATTTGGGGGTTTTCTTGCCAACTCTCTTCTCCTAGTTCCACACACAAATTACAGGGGATTTTTTTTTTGTTCACTTGTTTGTATTTCACAAACACTGTTAAAATAAGGTGACATCTCAAGTGATGTCACAGACATATTTTATGGAAAATCCTTTCCTTAGGATCTTTTCTCCTGAGAAGCTCAGAGGCCTCAGGAACAAAATGTACCCAATGGTTATCTGCTGCTGTGGAATGCAACAGGTGCATCTGGGATTGGGCTCATGTGGTTGTTTCTAATTAATGGCCAATCACAAGATTTTATTATCATTCCATTCCTTTCTATTCCTTGCAAGCCTTCTGATGAAATCCTTTCTTCTTTTCTTTTAGTATAGTTTTACTATATAATTTTCTTTTAACATATATAATAAAATAATAAAACAAATAATATAATAAAATAATATTATAAATAATATAATAAAATAATAACATAATAAATGGAGTCAAGATTCTCATCTCTTCCCTCATCCTGGGACCCCTGTGACACCAGCACAAAGTGACATCTGCTCTCATGCCCATGGTTCCTCAGCCCTGCTCATGTCTTGCACCAGGGATTTTCTACCATTCCTAATCAAGAAACTTAAAATCAAGTTCTATTTCTGTCCAGTTTTTCTCTTTAAACCAGACAGAATCCACCTCACCTGTATTTTCCATGGTTGATTTTTTTTTTCTGTATTTACTGAATGCCAAAGCAAATAATTTCTTGTTTGTTTGGAAATATTTGGTGGTGGCCCCTGAGCTTTGTGACCCCTGTCAGTGGTGTTTGCCTCTCCTGTGTTCCGTGGAGAAAATGCCAATGGGCTCCAAGACATTCAGCACCTTTAGGGAACAAATTTAAGCAGGGGAAAAAGAGAAATTCTGAGGAGGAGCACAGCTGGAGAGAGAGGAGTGAGAAACTGTGAGAGCTCTGAAGGGTCAGGAGCTGCTCCAGGCACCACAGCTGGGATTGCCCTGAGATTCTGTGGTGGGACCATGGTGAGGCAGCAGTGCAGCCCCTGGAGATCCACCTGGGAGCAGGGATTCTCCTATAGATCCATGTTGGAGCAGAGATTCTCCTGGAGATCCATGTTGGAGCAGAGATTCTCCTGTAGATCCATATTGGAGCAGAGATTCTCCTGTAGCCCTGGAGATCCACACTGGAGCAGAGATTCTCCTGGAGATCCACACTGGAGCAGAGATTCTCCTGGAGATCCACACTGGAGCAGAGATTCTCTCCTGCAGCCCCTGGAGATCACCTGGGATCAGAGATTCTCCTGGAGAACCATATTGGAGCAGAGATTCTCCTGCAGCCCCTGCAGATCCATGTTGGAGCAGAGATTCTCCTGTAGCCCTGGAGATCCACACTGGAGCAGAGATTCTCCTGCAGATCCATGTTGGAGCAGAGATTCTCCTGCAGCCCTGGAGATCCATATTGGAGCAGAGATTCTCCTGCAGCCCTGGAGATCACCTGGGAGCAGAGATTCTCCTGTAGATCCATGTTGGAGCAGAGATTCTCCTGCAGTCCTGGAGATCCACACTGGAGCAGAGATTCTCCTGTAGATCCACACTGGAGCAGAGATTCTCCTGTAGATCCATGTTGGAGCAGAGATTCTCCTGCAGCCCCTGCAGATCCATGTTGGAGCAGAGATTCTCCTGCAGATCCACACTGGAGCAGAGATTCTCCTGCAGCCCCTGCAGATCCATGTTGGAGCAGAGATTCTCCTGCAGCCCTGGAGATCCACACTGGAGCAGAGATTCTCCTGCAGCCCTGGAGATCCACCTGGGAGCAGAGATTCTCCTGGAGATCCACACTGGAGCAGAGATTCTCCTGCACTGTGTGTCAGTGTCCATATGCACCAGACACCCCAGGCATTCCAGAGTCCTGTGTGTGTTTAACGTGCAGATTTAGGGTGAAAAGCTGTTCCTGAGCTGACTGTGAGCCTGCAGATCCTTTGTAGCTGCTGCTTTTCCTGTCTGACTGGTGCTGTTTGAAGCAGCCAACTCTATTCCAAGTCTGAGGAGTCTCTTTTCCCTTTCTAGGAAGAAGATCTCTTGAATGATGTGTGCAGGGAGGTTGTGGAGAGGTGGTCTGACTCCCAGGTCGTTGATTCCAAAGAGGAGAAAGAAGGTAGGGTGCTGTGCCTTGGGGTGCTGTGCCTTGGGGTGCTGTGCCTTGGGGTGCTGTGCCCTGCTCCTCAGAGTGGGGTCACCTCAAAGGGAATTTTGTGTTTGTCCTGGTAGGAGTTAAACCAATGCCTCTCACTCCATTGCTGCTCAGTTGCTCTTTCACCTGGCATGGGGATGAGCAGCTTCACTTTGGGCTGCCCCAGTGTTTGCTGCTCTTTGGGTTCATCATCCTGCAGGGGAAAAGTGGTTTTTGGGGTTTCTTTGTTTTGTTTTGGGTTTTTTTGTTGTTGTTGGTTTTTTATTTTGTTGGGGTTTCTTGTTTGTTTGTTTGTGGTGGTTGTTTGGTTATTTTTTGATTGTTTGTTTTGTTTTGGGGTTTTTTGTTGGTTTTTGTTTTCTTTGGGGTTTTTTTTTTTTTTTTGGTGTGTGTGTGGTTTTGGTGGTTTTTTTTGTTGGGTTTTTTTTTGTTGGGTTTTTTTTTTGTGTGGTTTTTTTTTCCCTACAGGATTTTTTTCCTGATGAGATGGTCATTAAGGTCCAGCCTGAACCATTCTGTGGTTTTTTCAGAAACCTTTCCCAGCACGTCCAGAGCTGTCTCTGCTCAGTGCTGGCACTGCAGCTATTATGGAATAGAAACCTGTGCTGCTTCTGTTGCTGGCACTCTGGAAAGCAGCTGCTTTGTCCAACTGCAGTGCCCCTGTGAGAGCTGGGCTGTCCCTGCTGCTGCTCACCCCACTCCCATGTCTGTATTTCCTCTGCCAACGTTTTCCTTTACAACTCTCCTTTTTTTGCCATAAATGCTTGTTGGAGGAAGCTCTGTGAGGCTGCTGATGAACTGTCACTGCTCCTTCCTGTGCCTGTGTCCATCTCCTGTCCTCAGCTGGGAGCCAAGGCTGGCCCTGTCCTGTGTGGGGAGGTTTGTCCTGGTCCCTGTGCAGTGGGAGATTTGTGCTTCAAGCATGGATCAGAGACATTGCAGTGGCACAGACCTGACAGGAGATCGTGACAATGGAATGGCCCTTTGGTCTAAACTCTGCTTTTTGTTGGTTTTGCACTTTCTTGTTGCCTCTGGTTGCAAACAGCTCATTGTCAGTCCCTGGTCACTGCATCAGCCCCAGCATCCCCCTCTGCTCCACCAGCTCAGTGCCTTTCCCCAGAAATCCTGGAGTTCTGCTCTTGGCCTCACCTTGCCTTTGGCTGGGGACAGGGAGAAGTTAATGCTGTTCTATGCATTAAATAAAATAAATTCTTCTTGAGGACAAGTGACTGGGATTGCTGGAGCTGCTGCTGGGCTCCTCCTGCTCCTGACAATGCTCACCCACAGGGATTTTTCTTGTTATAAAAAGGCAGCACAGTGTGTCTGGATTCATGGAATTCCAGGGTGAAATTATATCACTGGGGTTCCATAAAGGGATAAATCCCCACTGAAGTGTGTATCCACTCAGAATAACAGAGTCCTGAGGATAAGTGATTAACAGACTAAAAAAAAATTGGTGTCAAAACCCAGATGCCATTTTAGGAAATGGGCAGTGGAATTTCAGTGTTAAAAGGTAAATCAGCTGTTGGTCTCTCTTGGTTGGAAAGAAAGGGAGAGCATGGAACTGATCCCTCACTTCAGGTTTTCAGAATTTCTCTTTGATGGTGGTTAAGTACATATTAAATAAACTTATTAAGCTACTTTGAAGCAGAAGAGAATGTGATTTGGAGTCAAATGGATTTTCATTAGCCAGAAACTGGCTGATTCCATTTCACTGTGAAACTTCCCTTACTCCAGCAATAAATAACAGTGTCTGCACCAGGAATAACAGTGTCTGGTGGTGGCTGGGTGCAGCCCAGGGAATCCCCCTCAAAGAGAGAGGCACACAGTGCCATCACCTGTCACCTCAGGGTGTCAGCCCCACCCTGGCCCTACCCAGCCCCATGGTGGCTCCTCAGCAGCTCCATCTCTCCCAGATCCCAGCTGGAATTGCCCAGAGCAGCACCACTGATGCCCTTGGGAAAAGCTCAGGGGTGTTTTTGGGTGAGACATCTCCCTCTGGGTGGGTGCATTTCCCCTGCAGGACATGGGCTGGCTGGAGCTGCAGAGGGAGCAGGCAGTGAGTGACACCAGGGGCTTGTCTGTGGCCTGGGCTGACACTGTCACTCTTCTGCTGCCAGATGAGGTGCAGGCCATCACCAGCATGATGGAGAAGCAGGCCAGGATAGTGGTGAAGCCCAAGGAGGTGTCCCAGGAGGAGAAGCAGAGGAAGGCTGCGCTCCTGGCCCAGTATGCCAACGTGACTGATGAGGAGGAATATCCTTTTCCTGCACTGCTGGGGGCTCTGAGGGACATCAGCTGCTCTAAACCCCCTCAAACAACGCTCTCCCAGCTCTGCAGGGTCTGCTGGGGAAGCTTTGCACACTTTCTTCATGGTAATTGCCATGGACAAAGCATGGGAGCTCCTGGGAGGGTTTGTCCCCAGCACGTGGCTGTAACACTGCCCAGCCCAGGTGGGGCAGGAGAGCAGTGACTGCCCCTAGCCCTCAGCAGCTGGTGCTGATCTCTCTTGCTTTCCCAGAAATCTGCTGAAATAATCCTTTACAGAGAGAGTGTGTGGAGTGGGAGGGTTAGAAGTTAACTCTTTGTGGTGCTGAAGAATGAGCTCTTCCCTGCCCAGCAGAGTGAACTGTAGGCAACTGCATCTGGCCCTGGAGCAGCCAGAGCTGAGGGTGGGAGCTGTGCACACCTGGTCTGTGAGAGTCCAGCTGCTTCTTCCTGCCTTTATAAAGCTGTTATTTGAGTCAAGTGTGGCTGTAGGGAGGCACAAGATCATTACTGATGTCTGTGTTTCCTTAATTCTCTCACTGGTGGGGATGAACAGGATGGAATGACAACAGCTGTAAATATTGGATCAGAAAAATGTATCCTTTGAATTCCTGGTGACTCAGGCTGCTTGTCAGACAGGCAGCCTCCATGGTGAGTTTCCCTTTCTGGTCTCCCTGTTTCTGTAGGGCCACCTTTTAAGCTTGGGGATTGGTTTTTCTGGTCCCCTGACCTTGCTCACAGTGACAGTGACAGTCTGTGTGCTCAGTGTGCAGTGCTCACACCAACCCTGCCATTCATTTCCTTCTCCTCCCCTCTTCCACCTTTTTGCAGCATAGATCATGCTAATTGATGAGGACAAGGCTCCCAGAACATCAGGTTAATGTTGTCTGGTGTTCAGAGAGGGAAATTGTGTCAGGAATGAAGTTTGGCAGCAGCTGAACACCCATGGTGGGCAGGACCAAGGGCCCCATGTCTGTCTCAGAATTGGGACCATCCTTGAGCTCCCAGCTGGCACATTTAAGATGGAAGGAGGTTTTATGACATAATTAAATAAGAAACCTAAATTATTCTTGTCCCTACATGGGGGCCATGTATGTACCTGTCTGTCTGCACATACACACATGTATGTACACATATGTATGTGTTCAGACATGTCACACACAGCTGAACCCACTCGAGGCTGTGCCCTGGGTGTGTGCTTCCTTTCAGGTTTGTAGAGGTTTCACCTGTATTTTTACACATAAATCTTAAGAACCAGTAGGCAACCTCATTTTTCTAGGAAAAGAACCAGAATCACTAAGGTTGGAAAAGCCCTCTGGGACTGAGTCCAACCATTCCCCCATCACTGCCAAGGCCACCACTAACCCCTGTCCCCAAGTGCCAGTGCCTGAGCACCCTTTCCATGAAGTAGTTTTTCCAATATCCAACCTAAACCTCTCCTGGCATAACTTGAGGCTATTTCCTCTTGCCCTGTCCCTATTCCCTGGGAGCAGAGCCTGACCCTCACCTGGCTGTCCCCTCCTCTCAGGAGTTGTGGAGAGTGACAAGGTCCTCCCTGAGCCTCCTTTTCTCCAGGCTGTGCCCCTTTCCAGCTCCCTCTGCCACTCCTCACCCAACTTGTGCTCCAGAACATTCCTTCTCTAGGAGTGGGTGTTTGTTCTGGTTGGAAAAGCAACCAGAGATTCCTTTTCCTTTGTGCTTTCCTCATTCCCCAGTTCCATAGCTGCCTGGTGAGGAAGCAGGGAGTCAGAAGGTGAGGGGGGAGACAGAAAAAGCTCCCATGTGCCCTCAGGCAGAGCATTGTCAGCCCTTAGCCCTCCCCAGCGCTGTTCAGAAACACCAACGTGGAGGATGTGCTGAATGCCAGGAAGCTGGAGCGGGAGCTGCTGCGGGATGAGTTCCAGAAGAAGAAAGAGCAGGATAAACTGCAGAGGGAGAAGGACAAGCTGGCCAAGCAGGAGAGGAAGGAGAAGGAGAAGAAACGAACACAGAAAGGCGAGCGGAAGCGGTAGCTGGCGCTTTCCAGTTGGACTCTCAAAGGATAAAATTAATTCTGAATACGGTGTGTGTTTAAAAAGCAGCAAGAATTCCAGGCACGTGGCTGGGAGCAGTTCTTGGAAAGTGGTGCCTTTTTTTTTCCTTTTTTTTGTTTTGTTTTGTTACATAGCAGAACAGAATCTCTGAGCAGCTCCTGGACTCAGCGTGCCCTGTGCTTGTGGTATCAGTGTCCCAGTAAGTGCTCGTGGCCAGTGTCTGTACCAAAGAAGGGTGAAGTGATTATGTCTGTATTGTTAACTTGATCCATTTTTACTTCTGACCACCTGGGAGCAGAGCATGGTGTAGGAGCAGCCCCTGCATTGGATGTGGTTTGTGGTGAGCAGGACATGCTGCCCCAGGGCACACATGAATTCATTGACACAAGCCTTGAAAAATGTCTTTGCAAATCCCTGTTTGCACTGCTGAGGCCAACACTGCAGCCCTGCTCAGGCTGGGCTGGGGGAGCAGGACTGGAGCAGAGATGTGTGAAACAGAGCTGAGCTGCAGTGATGTGCCTGCATCACCTATGGCCTGTGAGTGAGGGAAGCACCACCCAAGCAGGAGCATTGGCCTCAGCAGCAACCCCACTCCTAATGCAGTTTTAGGACTCCAGAGTGCAAAATGTTGTTCCCTGATGTTCTGTGGGATGAACATGGACTGTTACTTCCCCAGCTGTTGCCAGGGTGAAGCTCTGAAGCTGGTTTGGCACAAGCAGGGTGAGCCAGGGATGGCCTGTTGGGCACAGCTGCCATCAGGAGCTGCACTGCTCCTCCTGAATGCTCCTCCTCCCCCCAAGGGCTCATCCCTGCTGCTCCAGCCTTTTTGTGACGGTGTTGGCTGCTGCAGAAGGAGAACACTAATCCTGGGAACTGAGGGGAAGGAGGGGCTGTGGGAGGAGTGGGTGTGCCTGGGCTCTGTGCTGCAGCAGGCTCCAGGTGTTTGCTGTGAGGTGAGACCTGTGCTGAGCTCCTGACTCCAGGGCCAGGCCTGCCCCTCCAGCTGCTGTGTGTGTGTGTGTGTGTGTGAGTCTCCAGCTGCTTTATCTTTGGACTTGAATAATAAAGCTTGATTGGCAAAGCAGTGGGGTCCTCTGAGTGATGTTGCCATTCGTGTGTCCCTGCTGGCCCCTTGCCCAGCAGCAGCTTTTCTCCAGGCTTGCCTTGGTGCAGATGCAGCTTCATTCATGCCTTGTTTCTCAGGGCTGTGGTGCCCTCCTTCCTGGGAGCTGCCCCAGCTGTGCTGCTCCCCAGCCTGGCCTGGTGCACTGTGCTGGTTCCTGGCTGGTATTTCAGGGTGTGGAACAGGGCAGGGGGCAGCTCTTGAGGGAGGGGGTGTCACTCAGCCCCAGCTCCACGGGCCAGCTCTGGCATCCTGGTGCCCTGGAGCCCCGTGCACCACCCTGGGCTGAGGCTGGGCGAGGCACTGGCTCTGCCTGAGGTGGCCCTGGCCACCTGCAGGGGGATCTCACCTCCTGCTGGCACCCCACTTGCTCTGCCCATCCTTGTCAGCCTGGCACTGAAGTGCCCAGCCCTTGGCTTCCAAGCAAAATGCAAGCTGAGGGCTGGAGCTGCCTACCTACATAGGCATGGCCCACCTGAGGCTGTCATGGCCTCCTGAGCCCTTTGGTTGTGAGGGCTGAGGGAAGGGCAGTGTTCACCTCGTCAGGGGAGGAGGCCCTGAGCCTGTTCTGCCACTGCTGTGCTCCAGAGCCTGTCCAGGAACAAGAGGCTACACACACCACTGTGTGTGTGCACATCCATGGGAGGCTGCAGGGATGCAGGAAGGGCCCAGTCACACACACAGAGGGTGGAACTGGCTCCCACAGCCCTGCAGATCCCTCTGCAGGCACCACTGGCCCCTGCACCCCAGCCAGACTAAACCAAGGCCCTGTCAGGGACGGGGATCAGGAGCAAGGGCAAGTCCAGCCCTTTGCTTTCCAGCAGCTGCCCTGGGGCAGAGTGGAACCGTGGCCAGGAGCAGCACCAGTGGTGTTAGAAACCCTCAGTGGTGTTGGAAACCCAAAGTGAGCTGATGCTTCCCAGCCCATGAGGCTGCAGGGCTGCCCCCTCTGCCCACCCCATGGACTGTGGGCCCACCCCTTCCCATGCCAGCAGTTTGTGCCATGGATCAGTGCCCAGCAGGCAGCAACTCAGCTCCTGGAGCTGCATCCACTGCTGCTGCATTCAGGACAGTCAGCAGTGCACAGCTGGCACTGACAGCACAGAGTTATTTATAGAGCAGGAATACTCTGGACTCACCCCTAAGATTCCCAGTGCAGATGACAGAATTGCTGCATCAGCCTTCCCTGGCAGTGCAGAGCTTGGAGCTGAGACTTTTGCAGGGGAGAAACACTCCCTGCTCTGGCTCCCTTGGCATGTCTGATGTTATGGTCAGAGCTGTCCCCTCTGCTTTTTCCTGAACTCAGTTCCATAACAGACTGAATGCTTCCCCCTGGTACTGGTTCAGGCTCAAGGAGCCTGGCCTGGAAACACACTTGCAGAACAGAAGCTCTTCAACAAAAATGAATTTATTTCTTATAGACAACTCCAGTCAGCACAGTCAGTTTTGCTTTAACATCAACACAGCCTGGGTCAAACTGAACAAGCCCCAGTGCAGTGGCTGTTAGGGAGCTGTGCCTGTTCTGCCCCTCTCCCCGGCAGCACTCCTGGCGTTGCCGTGATCACACCCCACCTTTTGCTGAGCCTTTCTCACTCGTTTTGCACATCATCTAATGCCAATTTATCTAATGCCATCACCCCTTCTGCACATCAGCATTCCCAGCAGCAGGAAGGACAGAGCTATGTGGGTACCAGGGTGTGCAGGCATGGTCAGCTCAGTAACTTTAACCCACTGTTAAAGGGAGTTTTTTCCAGGGCCGCTCTGTCCCGAGCACCAGCATTGGGTGCTGGTGAATCCATCACTCCTGCTCCTAAAGACTCAGAGCTGCAAGCAAACACCAGTGCTGGGAGCTGCCCAAATGCAGAAGGGAACTAAGAAGTCTAGAAGTTGACAATCAAATTTCAAACCAAACTAGTAACTTTAAGAAAATCCAAATTTCAGAACTTGGCACGACCTTTTCTGAAGTTAAATTAAAAACAACGCTCATTATTGAAGCTCCTTCACAGCTCTGCAGGACAATCCTGTCTGCCTGTCGTAGTTTGATTATGCTTAAATACTTTACAACAGTAGTTCATTTGTTCCCAAGAGCATTCCAAATACCTGAACACATTCACTAAATTCATGGTTTCACACAGCAATTATGCTCTACTGGTAATTTAGTGGCACCTGGTGCATATTGCCTTTCCCAACATAGACTTTAAAATCTCAAATTCATAAATATTTGTATTTTAAATATCTAGTTTTACATGAATATTGGGTATTTCTAGCCTTTTTTCTTTCTGTTTCCAGGTTTTAGTTCAATGAGGAAACCATTTTACATCACAATCTGATCTGACACCAACCTCACACCCCGTCACACCACAGTCTTTAAGAATCATTATTTAAAAACCTATTTCCTAAAGCAAAACTAAAAGGAGTTATGGGGAGAGTTGGACACCAGGCTTCACCCATAGGAGTTAAATAATATCTTGGCTGTTAATGAATTAGTCTGATTATTTTTTTAAGTTAACATTCACCAGTTTGGCTTTACAACATTCTGACCCTGCCCATCACGTTAACAGCTTAACCTGAGAGCCCTTAAGGCAAATCTCACTTCTCATCAAGATATAGCTTTAAATATGAACTTTAGCAGTTGAAACTTTGAAGTAACTAAAAAAGAACCAAAAATTATGAGGAATTCACATCTCCTCTCTCATACACACTGCGGAGCAGGTCCGTGCACGGCCCCGGGGCTGCCTCTGATCCCCCTTCCCTGGGCCCTCGCGGAGCCGGGGCCGCGGCCGCAGCCGGGGGGGTCTCGGCTCGTTTCTCTTCGGGCGCCGCCCCCTCCTGAGGAAGCCTCTCCCGAGCCCGTTTGCCAGCGGAGGGTTTGGGCAGGGTCATCTGGAAGGCGCACCAGAGCACGGTGCGGACCTTGCGCGTGGCCAGGCACAGGGCCCGGAGCGCCGCGGCCAGAGCCAGCACCACTGCAGGGGGAGGAAAAGAGCGCTGCCTTTAGTCCCGAGCGCTGCTGGGGCTGCCCTCACCCCACACTCCTCTGTCCCTTTACACGTTTATCAAAGCTGGGTCTCAGTTTCTCTGCCCTCACACAGCAAGGCAATGTGTGGTTTGTAACTAAAGTTTGTTTTCTGAGTTTGTTACAGAACCTTCCTGCTGCAGCTGCACCCCTGCACACACACACTACTGGCACCTGGGCCCTTTAATCCTGAGCACTGCTGGGGCTGCCCTCACCCTACACCTCATCTGTCCCTTTACAGGTTTATAAAAGCTGGGTCTGAATTTCTCTGCCTTAACACAGCGAGGCACGTGTGTGGTTTTTAGGCTCTGAGTTTGTTACAGAACCTTCCTGCTGCAGCCTCACCCCGGGGTTGGGGTGCTCCATGTACACACACACCCTAATGGCACCTGAGCACTGCTGGGGCTGCCCTCACCCCACACTGTCCCTTTACACGTTTATCAAAGCTGGGTCTCAATTTCTCTGCCCTCACACAGCAAGGCAGGTGTGCGGTTTTTAGGTTCTGAGTTTGTTACAGAACCTTCCTGCTGCAGCTGCACCCCTGTACACACACACACACTAATGGCACCTGGGCCCTTTAATCCTGAGCACTGCTGGGGCTGCCCTCACCCCACACCTCCTCTGCCCCTTTACACATTTATAAAAGCTGGGTCTGAATTTCTCTGCCCTCACACAGCAAGGCAATGTGTGGATTTTAGGTTCTGAGTTTGTTACAGAACCTTCCTGCTGCAGCCTCACCCCGGGGTTGGGGTGCTCCATGTACGTACACACACACACCCTAATGGCACCTGGGTCCTCCCCTTCTGGTCACAGCAGGGTCCTTCACCTGTCCTGCCAAGAAATGCTGACCATGGGTGAAGGGCTGAAGGGCCAGCTGGTTTGGGGCACTGGACTGAAGCACCCAGCTCATGTTCTGTGAATGGGTGCTGAACCATGGAGCTCTAAAGGGTCACCTGGGCTGTGGTCCAGGCTGCCCAGAGCAGCTGGGGACGCCCACCCCTGGAAGTGTCCAAGGCTGGACAGGGCTTGGAGCACCCTGGGATAGTGGAAGGTGTTCCTGCCCATGGCAGAGGTGGAGCTGGAGGAGCTTTAGGGACCCTTCCCACCCAAGCCATCCTGTGATTCTGTAATAAATGCTCAATATTGGATCAGATGGAATAGAAAGATGCTGTGGAAACAGGGCTGGGCAAGACCTGCTCCCAAACAAACCAGAACAGCTTCAGGCCTTTCCCTCAAGAGCAAATACAGTTACTGCATGCAATAATTTACTGTTCAAAACAATCCTCCCCAGCTGCTGCTCCAGGTTAACACCCAGGACAGCCATGGGAGGCAGAGGAGCAAGCACCACCCCTCAGGTCAGTGATCACATCCCACTGTGCAGAGCCTCCTCTCCTTTCCCAGCAGCAGCACAAGAACCTGCATCTCCAGAGCTGACAACTCCTTCCCAAACTACTCTGTTCCAAAGACAATTATTTTCATGGGCTTCAACACCCAAAAAAAATCCCCTTCACCTTAACAAGTCCCATAATCTTCAGTCAAGGTAAAGAGAAACAAGAATGATGGGGAACAGGTGAAAGGAAAGAATGCTGCAGTGTATCTTCTGGGGGAAACTTGAGAATTATAGAACTGCATGAGGGACACCCCAAAGAAGTAAAATGATCCCTGTAATTCAGATGGAGGAAGAACAGCAGAAGGGATCAGAAGATTCAGAAACAGCTTCTGACACAAGGTAGGAGGTCAGAGTGTTGCAGGGAGCAGGAATTCATCCATCCATCTCAGAGACAAGGGAACCTGCCACTCTGCCTGTGCCCTGGTGAAAGATTAAACTGAGTGTTTGCCTTATTTGGGACACCATTAAAAATGAAAACATTTAGCCCATTGTATTTTTATGCATCCATCCAAAATATGATTTGTAATTATGCCAGTCTAAGACAGAAGATGCTTG